GTGTGTGCGTGTGTGCTTGTGTGCGTGTGTGCGTGTGTGCGTGTGTGCGTGTGTGCGTGTGTGCGTGTGTGCGTGTGTGCGTGTGTGCGTGTGTGCGTGTGTGCGTGTGTGCGTGTGTGCGTGTGTGCGTGTGTGCGTGTGTGCGTGTGTGCGTGTGTGCGTGTGTGTGTGCGTGTGTGCGTGTGTGCGTGTGTGCGTGTGTGCGTGTGTGCGTGTGTGCGTGTGTGCGTGTTTGCGTGTGTGCGTGTGTGCGTGTGTGCGTGTGTGCGTGTGTGCGTGTGTGCGTGTGTGCGTGTGTGCGTGTGTGCGTGTGTGCGTGTGCGCGTGTGTGCGTGTGTGCGTGTGTGCGTGTGTGTGTGTGTGTGTGTGTGCGTGTGTGCGTGTGTGCGTGTGTGCGTGTGTGCGTGTGTGCGCGTGTGCGTGCGTTAGTAAAAAATGAGCGTAAACATGTCAATGTGCGTGCGCGCGGGCGTGGGCATGCTTGTTAACCTTTTGCCTACGTTTGTTTGGGTCGGAATAGAAAAACCTGGTTTTTCTTGGCTTTGAAAGGTCTTCCTGGAAATTCTAGAAATTCTGAGAAACTCTGGGTTATCTGGATTTTTGCCCGCAATTTAGCCGTAATTCGCCCATAAAATCCCGTGATTTGCCCATAATTTGACGTAACCCAAAAACAACCTGGATTTTTAAGAAGTTCCTGGTGTTTTTTTTGCCACCCAAGAAACGGCAGGCAAAGGAAGCTACAGGTGGGCATGTGCATGTGCATGCGCGTGTACGCACGTGCGCATGCATGGGCGTGGGCCTGCGCATGCGCGTGGGCGGCCGCGCGCGCGCGCGCGCGCGCGCGCGCGCGCATGTGAGTGTGCGCCAACGCGCTCGCGCGCCCGCATACATGCATGCTTGCGTGCGGGTTGCGGGCGGGCGCGGGCCGCGGGCGCGGCGCGGGTGCGGGTGCGGGTGCCGGGGGTGCAGGTGCGGGTGCGGGTGCGGGTGCGGGCGCGGGTGCGGGTGCGGGTGGGGGTGGGGGTGGGGGTGGGGGTGGGGGTGGGGGTGTGGGTGTGGGTGTGGGTGTGGGTGTGGGTGTGGGTGTGTGTGTGTGTGTGTGTGTGTGTGTCTATGCACCCTCTGTGTTGGTATACATGTGCACATGTGTCAGATAGAAACCTGGCTTTGGGCTGACACTGTGCTTGGACGGCTTGGGTCGGCGTCTTCGTTTCCATTACGTTGAGCTTTCGGGTGCATTTAGGATTTGCCTCCGAGGTCTCTACCCTGGCCTGGAAAGAAGATGATCTCACCGTCCAAACCAGCTGAACTACTTCTTGAACCTCCCTTCAGGGCGAGCGGCGAATGCGTCAATGTTGGTGATGTCACCTTTGAGAGGCGTGCTGAGGGCTGCGAGTATGTTACCCTATTCTGTGGACGAGGACGGGGAACTCTCGCTATGGAACGGAGGGTTGCTGTTTCGAGAGAGGTTTGCTTGAAGAGAAAAAGTGCAAACCTCTCCCTTCAGAGTGTGTCCGACAGATGATCGCCTGCGACAGCACCGTCGGATACCTTCATCTTGGAAACGCATAAATCATGGATGTTTTAGCCAGAATGGGCTTTGGACCTCCCCGATTTCACGGGAAACACTGGGTGCTATGTATTTCTACGTCGCCACATGTTCCGAACAGGTCGGCATTTCGAAAGAGCCAAAAGGACGCACTATCCACCCGAAACCCTAAACCCTGAACCCTACACCGGCGCCTGCAAAGTCTGCTGGGCAATCCCTTCCACCCCTAGACACGAGATCTTCGCCCAAAGCAGTCCTTAGAATCCTTTCTAGCAGGTATGCAAAAATTCGGGATTTACACCCCGGAAATTCAAGGCTAAACCCTAAACCCTAAACCCTGAACCCTGAACCCTGAACCCTGAACTCCAAACCCTAAACCTTAACACCTAATCCCCATCCCCATGACCTGAACCCCAAACCCTAAACCTCAACACCTAGCCCGTAAACAGAGTGAGGGGCGCGATAGGGGGCGGGGGAGGCTCAAGAGGGAGAACGAGTAAGACATTCTACTGAAAGTAGTTGGGCAGGAATCTAGGTCACCCCAGACACACTGGATGACCGCAAAGTGTGCCAGAGACACGACAACTGCACCGACCCCTTCACTTCCCCTGAATACATACCCTCCGCCCCCTAGTCTTCAGTGTTGTTGGACTTTTTCCAGTATATTGGCCCGGTATTGGAACCTTTTGAGTGAAGGATTCTGAGTGGCAGTGTACTTGGATGAACAGCCACATACGGTAGGGTTGCGCAAGACTTGGGACGTTTAAGACTCCAGTTCTACGGTTGTCATGTACGGGGTTTGTGGCAGATTTGGCTCCCATGATACGAGGTTAAAATTTCATCATAAGATAGATGATACATATTAGAAGAAATCACGTATATATATATATGTATATGTATGTATATACACGTGAGATGTATGCCACGTAAACGCTCCCTCACATCAGTGCCAAGGCGCCCCGAACTTCGCGCAGCCTGTTGCCATCGCCGGGAGCATAGACGTACCTGAGCTGCTCCGATCGACTTCTGGCCTCTGGACCCCCATTCAAAAATTAGGGTTTAGGGTTTAGGGTTTAGGGCTTAGCCTTCTAGCACTCGACCCGAAAATCTGCGAGAAAGGTCCGCAAGCCTAGGACTCGTTTCTTGAGCAACCATCACCCGATTTCCTGGAACATGTGTTGCTCAGATGCGGTGTTGAGCCTGAACACAATCGAAATGTGCATTTGGTTTGGCCCACGTTGGGGTTCAGGCAGTTGATGGTCGCTGTGAGTAGTGTTTGGGCGGGAAAACTGTGGCGTCCAGCTGACCAATGACACACGCTAAGCTCTCAACCCTACCCGGCTCTTGTGGGCGGTTCCTCACCCCCCCCCCCCCCCCCCCCCCCCCACCCCCCCCCCCCCACCCCCCCGCCCCCACCCCACCCCCTCCCACGTCCCCACAGCCCGTTGCAGGGCGTTCCATTCTTGGCAAGCGTTGGTCCCTTGTTGCCTTTGCTTTTATCCCCCGATTTGGAGGGTTTTAGAGCTTGGGTTTCGGAATTAGGGGGCGTAACGTTGAAGAAGTTGTGGGATGTAGGGTTCGGTGCAGGTTCTGTGTTTTCGAGAGCAGCAACAGACACTCTGCCGCATTATTCAGCCTTGAGGGCCCGCAGCACACTCACTGCACACTGATTACGCTGTGGGTTGTGTTTTCGGATGTGGGGCTTCAAAGGTCTCTGTCTTTCAACTCCGAACCTATGGCCAGAAGCTTTTCAGCCTTCGGCCCAAAGTTCCCTAAATGCCTCAACCGTAAACTGAACCCTACACCCGAAAACCTCAACCATCCCATAGGCCTATAGGCCTTGAAGCGCACCGAAGGCCAAGCTGCTCGCCGTCGCTCGGCTTAAAAGCGGCCGAATTGTCGAGGGGGTCGTTGTTCGTGTTGACTCTGCCCATGTAGCAAGGCTCGAGAGCACCTGGCTGTGGGAACTTACGGGGTTGGGCTTGTAGGGTTTATGGGGCCTTGTGGGAGCTCGAGGGAAGATGCAGCATTGGTCCGTTTCAAACGACTTGTGGGGGCTGATAGGCTTGAAGATTGAAGGCTGCGATTTGTCCCTCCCTAAACCCTTAGACCTATCAGTCTGAAAGCCCCGAAGGCACTGAAAAGGAATGCCCATGTTGGACTTGGGAGGAGTGTTTAGGGCCTAGGGCGATCGATTGTGGTTGACGTCGTTGTTCTGACAGGGAGGACTGGGAAGGAGCGCGAGGCAGAATATGTACAACGTGTCGCGCGTGAAACTGAACACATTCCACCAGAAACACTTGCGAAGTCCTGTCCCAGGCCTTATGGCACATGTAAGCACATAACGAAGGCGCTGCTGAACACGAGTCTTGAAATATGCGATTCATTACAGAGCCCGCAAGATTCTTGCTTGGCTGCCGTGTTTGCATATCTCGCCAGATTTTAGCCATCTGAGACACTTAAATGTTAAGCTGGTTCTGGGTGTCAGGGCAGACTTTAATATCGTTTACATTTCAATGCACTGAATCGGCAACTGGTTTTGGGTTGCTGTTGATGATCTTGCATTTGGCCTGAGCGATGCGCCACGTCGTACGAAAAGGGGGCAGATTCTCGAAGCCAACCATTACCACCCGAAACAACGAAAAAGGGCATCACCAACATCTTTGTAGGAAACGGAGCCTAAACTACCCTAGCAACTGGTGGGAGGGGGGCTTGCTCAGAGCCCCACGCCCTTCAAAAGGAACCCCCAAAAGCCCTCAGGATTTAAGTCCTTGAGGCCATCCCAATCTCCAAAAAAACTGGTGGCTGAGCGGCCTGTGGTCGGGTCGCACGTCATGCGAGCAAGATAGCCTGCACTAAGTTCGGAACTTGTAAGGCTTTGGGGCTGCAGGCTTAAACGGCATGTGGTGCAAGGAGTCAGGGCTCCTTGGCTAGCGTGCAAAGCTTCATCTCTAGATTCTTTTGGGTTGCTTTGTGGGTTCTCGAATCGGGTTCAAAGTCATGAGAAGAAACCCACAGAAAGGAAGGGAGGCCTGAAGACTCTCCCCGCAGATGCGGGAATTGTTCGTGCATTCTTCTAAGGGCTGGAGGCCGAGCTGAACTCCTGCAACATCATGTCACTCTCATGCCTCCAGGCTTCCGCGCCTGAACCCGCCTGTCTTCGCAACTTAGGGATTACAGGGCTTCAGGTGGTTAAGGAGGTGCTTGGGCTCGAAGGCCTATAGGGGTTCCCTAAAACCCTATAAGCCTTACAAACCTCGAAAACCCGAGAGCCGTCTGCAATCGGAGGCATGCAGCGGGGAGTCGACGTAGTTTGGCAGTAGATCCTTGGCCCCCAAAGGGTTTACGGCTAGGGAAGTGTCCAAGAGCCATTGCATGATGATACCCGACGCGGAAATGCACCGTAAATCCCAAACCCCCGAACTCCGCATTAAACAAACAACTGTCGCGAGCTCTCTCAAAGGTGCGTGACAACCTTGCTAGAAGGTTCCGAGTGGTTACTGACCAGCGGTCGCAGGCTCTTCATGGTACATCCTGGTGATTCTGACTTTACGATTGTCGATATTACGTTTGTCTGGTTATTCGGATCGGTGATTTCGTTTTAACACCATTGACATGTCTCGTTCATCTTGACTTGCCCTTGTGAGAAGAACATGCTTAAACCATATCCTCGACTGCCTTGAGTATGTATGCATACATATGTATGTATGTATGTATGTATGTATGTATGTATGCATGTATGTATATACATGCATATATAACACACACACACACACACACATATATATATATATATACATACATACATACATACATATATATATGTATATATAGATATGCGTATATACGCGAACATGTAGTATCTATATATATATATATGTAAGAGGAACCTTTACGTATCATTTGACCTTTGTCCTTGCCTGCTTACTCCAATATAAAGAATTAGAAATTTAGGAATTCAGGCCTTAAGCCGAAACTCCTAAATTCCTAATTCCTTGGAATTAGGAATTTAGGAGTTTTGGCCTTCAGCCGAAATTCCTAAGTTCCTGAATTCCTAATTCCCTGGAATTAGGAATTCAGGAATTTAGGAGTTTTTGCCTTAAGCCGAAATTCCTAAATTGCTAAATTCCTAATTCCCGGGAATTATGAATTTAGGAATTCAAGGAATTCAAGGAATTTCAGAAGTTCTAATTCTTCTGGGTTTCCGGCCCGCTGGAATTAGGAATTTAGGAATTTAGGAGTTTTGGCCTTCAGCCGAAAGTCCTAAATTCCTACTTCCCGGGAATTAGGAATTTAGGAGTTTTGGCCTTTAGCCGAAATTCCTAAATTCCTAAATTCCTAATTCCAGCGTGCCGGAAACCCAGAAGAATTAGAACTTCTGAAATTCCCTAAATTCCTACATTCCTAATTCCGGGAACTTGGAATTTAAGAATTTAGGAGTTTTAGCCTTAAGCCGAAATTCCTGAATTCCTAAATTCCTACTTCCCGGGAATTAGGAATTAGAATTTAGGAGTTTTGGCCTTAGCCGAAATTCCTAAGTTCCTAAATTCCTAATTCCTGGGAGTTAGGAATTTAGGAATTCAAGGAATTCAAGGAATTTCAGAAGTTCTAATTCTTCTGGGTTCCCGGCCCGCTGGAATTAGGAATTTAGGAGTTTAGGAGTTTTGGCCTTCAGCCGAAATTCCTAAATTCCTAAATTTAAAATTCCCGGGAATTAGGAATTTAGGAGTTTTGGGCATTTGCCGAAATTGCTAAATTCCTAACTTCCTAATTCCAGCGGGCCGCAAACCCAGAAGAATTAGAACTTCTGAAATTCCTTGAATTCCTTAAATTCCTAAATTCCTAATTCCCGGGAATTAGGAATTTTGGAGTTTTGGCCTTTAGCCGAAATTCCTAAGTTCCTAAATTCCTAATTCCCGGGAATTATGAATTTAGGAATTTAAGGAATTCAAGGAATTTCAGAAGTTCTAATTCTTTTGGGTTTCCGGCACGCTGGAATTAGGAATTTAGGAATTTTGGAATTTTGGAGTTTTGGCCTTCAGCCGATATTCCTAAATTCCTAAATTCCTAATTCCCGGGAATTAGGAATTTAGGAACTTAGGAATTTCGGCTAAAGGCCAAAACTCCTAAATTCCTAAATTCCTACTTCCCGGGAATTAGGAATTTAGGAATTTAAGGAATTCAAGGAATTTCAGAAGTTCTAATTCTTCTGGGTTTCCGGCCCGCTGGAATTAGGAATATAGGAATTTAGGAGTTTTGTCCTAAATTCCTCAATTCCTGATTCCAGCGGAATTAGGAATTTAGGAGTTTTTGCCTTAAGTCGAAATTCCTAAATTCCTAAATTCCTAATTCCCGGGAAGTAGGAATTTGGGAATTTAGGAGTTTTGGCCTTTAGCCGAAATTCCTGAATTCTTAAATTCCTAAATCCAGCGGGCCGGAAACCCAGAAGAATTAGAACTTCTGAAATTCCTTGAATTTCTTTAATTCCTAAATTCCTAATTACCGGGAATTAGGAATTTAGGAATTTAGGACTTTAAGCCGAAATTCCTAAATGCCTGAATTTTATAATTCCAGGTGAATTTAGGAATTTAGGAATTTCGGCTCAACGCCCTCCTTGCGCAAGCAAGAATGGGAGGCGCGCGAATCACACCAAAATCTTGTCCTTCTTGTTGCTCGCATGTCCGACAAACCCCCAGAGGACAAAATCTGTTGTGATTCGCGCGCCCTCCTTGCGCCAGCAAAGAACAGAGGCGCGCGAATGACACCAAATTTTGTCCTTCTTGTTGCTCACATGTCCGACAAAACCCAGAAGATAAAATCTGGAGTGATTCGCGCGCCCTCCCTGCGCAAGCAAAAACGGGAGGCGCGCGAATCACACCAAATTTTTGTCCTTCTTGTTGCTCGCATGTCCGACAAACCCCAGAGGACAAAATCTGGTGTGATTCGCGCGCCCTCCTTGCGCCAGCAAAGAACAGAGGCGCGCGAATCACACCAAATTTTGTCCTTCTTGTTGCTCACATGTCCGACAAAACCCAGAGAACAAAATCTGGTGTGATTCGCGCGCCCTCCCTGCGCAAGCAAAAATGGGAGGCGCGCGAATCACACCAAGTTTTGTCCTTCTTGTTGCTCACATGTCCGACAAAACCCAGAAGACAAAATCTGGTGTGATTCGCGCGCCCTCCTTGCGCAAGCAAAAAACGGAGGCGCGCGAATCACACCAAATTTTGTCCGCCTTCTTCTTGCACAAATTTACAAGAGCTCAGCGGATACAATCTGGTGTGACTCGCCCTCCTGCGCAAAAATCGGAGGCGCGCGAATCACACCAAATTTTGTCCGCTTTTTCTTGCACCAATTTACAACCAATCTCAGCGAATCGATTGGATTTGCTAGCCACCTTTTGGTTTCTTTTAACATTTCAAGGGTTTGAAAGAATGCAGAAAGAATGCAAGGGACCTTTTCAAATTTTAAGAGGCCTCTGTGGCATATTCGCTAAGTGTCAACACTCTTCCCTTGAAAAAACATTCACCCGAGTTTTCCCCAAACTATTCGAACTATTCAAACTATACAAACCCGGGGACTGGGCCTTGGGGGTCCCGCCTGGGGACACGGCGCTTGCGATTTGTGAGTTTGGTAGATATTCTCTCAAAAAAAATATAGGGGACACTGCTTGCGACTTGTGATTTTAGATTTCTTCTTTCAACAAAAATTCATGGGACACTGCTTGCGATTTGTCAATTTCTTAGACAAACTAAGGGGGACACTGCTTGCGATTGTTGATTTTGGGGCATCTTCTTTCAGCAAAAAGCTGTGGGCACACTGCTTGAGATCTGTGTTTAATTAACACTAAGGGTGACACTGCTTGCGATTTGTGAGTCTTGCGCCTGCTCTTTCAGCAAAAAAACTAAGGGAGACTGCTTGCGATTTGTGATTTTGGTACACATTCTTTCAGCAAAAACTATGGGGCGCACTGCTTGCGATCGTGGTCAACAGAATGGATTTGTTAACCACATGTTTCTGTTTCAAGCGGACAAGAAAACCAAACGTGGTCAACACAATGGATTTGTTAACCACATGTTTCTGTTTCAAGCGGACAAGAAAACCAAACGTGGTCAACACAATGGATTTGTTAACCACATGCTTCTGTTTCAAGCGGACAAGAAAACCAAACGTGGTCAACAAAATGGATTTGTTAACCAAATGTTTCTGTTTCAAGCGGACAAGAAATCCAAACGTGGTCAACAAATCCATTTCCTCTGGGACCTTCAAGGGAATGGATGTGTTAGAGACGTTTCTGTTTCAAGTCAATAAGAAAACCACACATGGTTAACAAATCCATGTCCTCTGGGCCCTTCCAAGGTTCTTCGCAACAGAGAATCCGTTCACATCAGAGCACAGATGGCGCAGTGGGATGAAATTCCTAAATTCCTGAAATTAGGAATTTAGGGATTTAGGAGCTTTGGCCTTAAGAAACCCGGTAGTGGCCAAAATTCCTGATCTTAGGGATTTGCGGCTTCTAGCCGAAATTGCTAAATTCGTAAATGCCTAATATTTAGAAACGCCGCAATCGGAAATCCGGAAGTATTAGAATTCTCAAATTCCTTGACAAGCTGTTAACACTATTCAACAACCTGAAATGAGTTGCAGTTCTGTCTCCGGGATGCAAGCACATGACTCATTTCAGGCCCTGAAACTTGTCACTGTTTTGGCTTCGGCGCGCAAGCGCATGACCCATTTCAGGGCCTGAAATGAGTCACTGTTTTGGCTTCGGTGCACAAGCGCATGACTCATTTCTGGCCCTGAAATGAGTCATGCGCGTGCGCCCGACGCAGAACTGTGACTCATTTCAGGCCCTGAAATGAGTCACTGTTTTTAGTCACGGCCCCCTCAACACAAACAGTGACTCATTTCAGGGCCTGAAATGAGTCACGGCTCCGTGCCCCCCTCAGACTCTTTAAATTCCTTCAAATCCTTAAAATCTGGAAAATCAGTTTTCCTAGATTTCAAAGTCCCTCCTCCTGGGAGATTTCAAATTTTAGGCTCATTTCAAGGGCCTATCTCTTCTGTTCCTTTCCTTACCCTTCTCCTTTTTGCATAATTCATCCTTTTTGTTGTCCTTATTTCGAAAAGAAAAGGGAAGCGAGAGATAAGGGAGAGAGGATCGATAAAGAAGAGTCTTCTCTTCTCTGTGCCTTGTTTTGTCTTTCTTTCTCCTTTGCTCATCCCTCTTCTATTCTTGTCTTTGCTCTTCCCGTTAAAAATGCAATCCTGTCTATCTCTCCTCCTCCTTCTCTCTCCGTCCTCTTCAACGACAAGAAACACAAAAAAA